TCTGCAAATGGTGATGTGTTCTACTTTCGGAAGGAAGGAAAGCGCGCGGCGCTGCGCGGCGCGGCGCCTCATTGGGACTCGCCTCGCTGTTGGAGGTCGTTTCGGCTAAGCGCGCCGCCAGGCCGCCAGTTTGTCGCACTGCAGCCTCATTCCGAGAGTCGTTTTCGTCGCTCTGTCTCTCTCGCACCTGCACGGGACGCCCCATGAGTGCGAGAGAGACAGAGCGACGACTGACTGCTGGAAGGCCTAGAAGGGGAGAGGCGTTCCCAAAGCGGTAAATCACGGGCAGATTACGCGTGGGCCGCGCCGCGCTGCGCCTTGCGCGCCAAGGCTGGGGCCGCGCTCCCCAACGCCAACAACGCCTGCGGGCTGCCGGGCGGGCCGCGCCGTCGAGCGGCCGTGCGCCGCGGGCCTGCCTACCCAGCAGGGGCTCTGGCGACTCTGGGACCGCACAGTGGGCTAGAAGACCAGCGGCGCCGCCGGCCAAAACTCTACACGCGTTTTGAGCTCGCCAAACAGGAATCTGCTAAATAGGACTCGAACCAAACGTGTGACCCTTCCAATGGATTCCTCGTTCGGAGAGCAATCCAATGATGGGGTCACACGTTTGATTCGAGTCCTGTTTGGCGACTCTGGAGCTCAAAACGCGTCCGGGGCTTTGACCGCCTCCACCGGTCTTCTGGCCCACTGTGGACCGCCAGGTAGCGCACCTAGCGACCGGAGGGTCTCTACCGCCACCGTGCGCGTGCTCGGCGCGTGCGCGGCGTCGTGTCACCACAGAGGCGGTAATGTGAAAGTCCGCGCCAGAATGACAGTCGCACTGACCCAGTGAACGGGGCAGGGCGGCACGGCACTGTGGGATGGAGTCACGACGCACGGCAAGGACGGTCGTTGGCACGTCGCGAGCTTGGGGAGCGACGAGGTGGCGGAGTGGCGAGGTGCAGCAGCCTCGCGGCTCGCGCGGCCGGGACGGGGACGGTCAGCGGCCCAAGCTGTCCCATCCCAGGCACTGCCAGGCACCCAGCACTCTGATTCCGAGCTCTGTCTCTCTCGCACTCGTGGGGCGTCTCGCTAGGGTGCGAGAGAGACAGAAGCAGGCCGGGCGGAGGCGGGCCAAGGGCGACGACGCCGACGACGCGAAGACGTTCGTTGCGTCGCCGACCTGCCCGACGGGACTCTGGCGGGGCGGAAAGGCGCGAAACGCGACACAAAAAGGGGGCGCGGCCGGGATTCGCTCTCGGCGACAAAGTGTCGGACCCGACCGGTCTGGGGGACCGCCGGGGACCGCGCCGGCCGGGGCCAGGGGGCAGGGGGCGCTCGTCTGGAGCAGCCTGGGCGTCTTGTCTGGCCGCGTCTGGCCACGCGGCCACCGGGGAGGTGCAGTTAGGACAGTCTGGCGTGCCAGGCCAGTACGATCGTCGTGTTCCAGTGGCGTGCATTGCTCAAAGTCTGGGGCAGGATCAAATATTGCCTTACTTTCAAGGGTGTGACCGAAAATTGCATGAAAATGCATACTTTTGGCGGTCTTTGCGGGGAGGGGGGCGCCTCGCTCCGTCGCGTCGTGTTCCCATTCAAGGGGGCGCACGCCCGCAGGACCTCCCGCCGATTCAATAGGCACTCCACTGGTGCGTCGTCCTTCGCCCTCGCAGCGTGTGCGCTCCACGGAGCACACCGCACTGTTGTTGCTGGTCTTTGATTGGGCCATCACACCACGGCGCGGCTCGCACGCTGCCCGGAGAAAGCAGCCCCTCCACTGCAAACTCCAGTCTGGTGCCGGCCGATGCCCATCACTGGTGCTCAATCGAGAGCAGGAGCCATTCATCATTACTACTCCCTCCCTCGTTTTTTTTTTTTGCGAGTGGCTGGTGGCTGCAATGTGTCGTCAGAAAGCGAGGGTATTTCTGAGCGGATCCGCTACTGTATTCTGCCTCCGTCGCGCAGCTTTCATTCCCGGCAGACTCCGCGAGCCGCGAGTCTCCTTCGTCCTCGCCGCGCGGCTGCCTTTGCCTTCCTCGAACCGAACCGAACCGACTTGCCGTCGATGTCTCCCTCTCTTCTGTCTTCTGTAGCCCTGCAGGACCAGTACAGGGGCGGCTGTAGAATTGTTTTTCACAGTTGGCTATGATCTGCCTTTTGCCTGCCTTCAAGTGGAGTGTCTTGCTGGTTGCCTACCTGTAGGGTGGGTTCTGGTCCTCTGGGACTTGAACTTGAGGAGCTGGACCGCAATTGATGGTATGCCATTTCGGGCGCAGCACTGCCCAGCTCAGGGGCGCCGGAAGTGTATTTCCTCAGGGGGGGCAAACAATTCTAAATCCTACGTTCCTAATTACCCCCCTCCCCCACCAAAAAAAGGTGCTTAAAAAGACCCTACTCTTTCATGCCCCGCCTCGGGAAGGCTTTGACCGCTGATAGTTTGGGAGCAGTGGTCTCGCAAAAATGGTCAAAAAGTTAATGAATTTCAGAAAATCACCGTTTTTGCTGACTTTGAGCTGTCACTGCATCCAATTTAGTTGCGGTCAAAGGCCTCCCTCAACGCCTTACTATTCTGAAGACCCTACTCTTTCATGCCCCGCCTCGGGAAGGCTTTGACCGCTGATAGTTTGGGAGCAGTGGTCTCGCAAAAATAGTCAAACAGTGAATGAATTTCAGAAAATTACCGTTTTTGCTTACTTTAAGCGGTCACTGCATCCAATTTAGTTGCGGTCAAAGGCATCCCTCGACGCCTTACTATTCTGAAGACCCTACTCTTTCATGCCCAGCCTCGGGAAGGCTTTGACCGCTGATAGTTTGGGAGCAGTGGTCTCGCAAAAATGGTCAAAAGTAAACGAATTTCAGAAAATCATCGTTTTTGCTGACTTTGAGCTGTCACTGCATCCAATTTAGTTGCGGTCAAAGGCCTCCCTCGACGCCTTACTATTCTGAAGACCCTACTCTTTCATGCCCCGCCTCGGGAAGGCTTTGACCGCTGATAGTTTGGGAGCAGTGGTCTCGCAAAAATGGTCAAAAGTGATTGAATCCCCGAAAGTATGATCGTCATTTCATTGGATGATGTTGATTATTTCACTGATTACCAACTAGACGCGCAATGATTATCTTGAGTCGGGTACCCCTCGGAATATGCTGTCCCATTTTTAACCCGTGTCCCAAAATTGCCCCAACTGACTCTAATACTAATACAAATTATTCAATTCAAGGGGAAGGGGGAAGAGGCCGCCGCACCGCATCTCTCCGCTCGCTGCGGAGATACTTTGCGCGACTGGTGCCCACCCGCCTGACTCGATTTTCGCAGCTTTCCGCCAAATTCCAGGGGGGCGATGCCCCCCTGCCAAATTCCAGGGGGGGCAGCCTGCCCACCCTACACCCCACTTCCGGCGCCCCTGGCCCAGCTTGCATTGCACAGCGTCACCCCCTGGAGTCGCCGCCGAGCCGGCAGAGCGATTCCGCACAGCGCTGTCCTGGTCGGTCCTGGCGATGTCTGTCTCTCTCGCACTCGCAGGGCGTCCCTGACGGGAGCGAGAGAGAGAGAGAGAGACGGAGGCGGCAGATGCCTTTGGGCGAAGAGGGCCACACCGTGTTGGACACGCCGTCGTCGACGCCGCAATTGACTTCTGAATCAAGTGCGTGACAGTTATACTGCAGGCTGATTCCGAAGCGCGTTTCAGTCTCTCTCTCTCTCTCTCTCTCTCTCTCTCTCTCCTCTCTCTCTCTCTCTCTCTCTCTCGCACTCATGGGGCGTCCCGTATGGGTGCGAGAGAGACAGAGCGACGAAAACGACTCTCGGAATCAGTCTGCTGCGGATGTGTAGCGCGGCGCGGCGGCCAAGTGGCGGTCCTCCTATAAAGCCATGACGACGGCGGACTCTGCGCCGTCCGGGTTGATGAGTCATTAAAGAATCAGCGACTGGTGGGCGGCCGGGACCTTTCACCGTGCCCAGCGTCAGACTGATTCCGAGAGTCGTTTTCGTCGCTCTGTCTCACTCGCACTCGTGCGGCGCCCCCTGTGGGTGCGAGAGAGATACAGCGTCGAAAACGACTCTCGGAATCAGTCTGCGGCTTGACGGACTAGTCTGAGGACCAGACGCTCCGGCGCGGAGGGTCGGCGGGGCGGCGAGGCGCGGGTGGGGCTCGGGGCCCGGGTGGGTCTGACCGGGGCCACGCCGCGAAGCGCGAAGCGCGAAGCGCGGCCGCAAAGTGGGGCAGAAAACTATAAACGCGCGGAATGTAGCCACTCTTCACTTTCAGCTTGCAGCCTCCGCCCTCGGGTCGAGGTTCGAGGTTCGAGGTTCGAGGTTCGAAACCGGGCCCCGCGTTACTTTTCATACTCCCACCCTGTACCGTCAGCCTGCAGGCGCAGCCATGCAAACGCGCCGAATGTTGTCGTGCGGGAAGTCGCCGTCCTCGGCGCCACCGGTTGGCGAAGCAGGCGACGCTGCAGAGTCGTTTTCGTCGCTCTGTCTCTCTCGCACCTTGACTGGGCGCCCCATGAGTGCGAGGAGGACAGAGCGACGAAAACGACTCTCGGAACGAGTCTGCCGGCCACCGAGACCTGTCACACCGGCCGACTGGGAGAGTTAATGGCTGGGCGTCCCTTCCCTTCCAGTGACCTCCCTCCCTGCAGGCCGAATCCGCGCTCTGCTCTCGTCGCTCCGTCTCTCTCGCACCTGTACGGCGCGCCCCATGAGTGCGAGGGAGACGGAACTACGGGAACGACTCTCGGAATCGGTCTGCTGCCGCCAAACCGAACGGCCGCCGCCGCCGAACACAATGTGCGTGAGGGGAGCGCGCCGCCACGCCGCCGCCGGCGTACTTGGAACAATTTCTCCCAAACTGGTTCCGCCCCGCGCGAGGTGGGGCGGGCCGCATGTGCGGCGTGCGCCAGTCAGAGTCAGTCAGTAGCCCCGCGCCTGATTTTACGCCCCCCTCCCCCTCCCCCGCCAGCGTCGCGGCCGCCACTCCACTCGTCGACGCCGTACCGCACCACAGAGGAAGTCGCACCGACAGTCACCGGCAACCCGCTGACCCGCCCGGACGCGACGCTCGTCTCCGCTCGCTCGGCCCGGCTCGGCTCGGCTCGGCTCGACGTTGTTCACGGCGCGAACGTCAGTCTCATTCGCCGTGCAAGCGCGTCGCGTCGACTGCTGGCCGTGGCGGTGTTTTCCAAACAGTCGTGACAGTGCTCTCGGCGCCCGGCACACCGGCAGGGGCATGCCGCGGCCCCGCGAGTCCATCCCCGGGGGGTCCGTCTAGTGCAACAAGTGCAGCGAGTGGAACCAGCAGCGGAAGCATCAGTGAACCGCGCGGGTCCGCGGACTGGGACTGTGCGACGTACGACGTGCCAGTTCACCGAGTGCGCCGCGCGGGTTGGCGTAGCACGGCGTAGCAGCGCCGCACCCAGCCTCAGGCATGGACGCCGATAAGAAGACCAAGGACCTCGAGAAGATGGACAAGGACCCCGAGAAGAACCCCGCCGGCGGCAAGGTAACCCGGCGGTCACGATGAAGATGGAGCGTTTCGCAGTGGCGGAGCCAGAGCCGGCCTGAGGAAGGGGCGAAGCAAGCCGACTTACAGGCGGAAAGTGTCTTTTTGCCTACCTTCCAGGCGGCCATCTAGGAGTCAGAGGGGGGAGGAGGGGGTCAATTGTCCTTTTGCTCCCCTCTGGATCCGCCCCCGGCGGCTCGGGCTGAATGGTCTGCGTCTCCGCGCATTAAAACGTCGACACGCCGCGGCGCCGCACATCCTTGGACGGGAGGCTCGGCGTGGCACGGCGCGCCGGCCGGCCGGCTGTGGGAACTGCACGCAACGCAGCGCGACGCGACGCCACATGACGCTGACGGGGACGAGGACGATGACGAGGAGGATGAGTCGGCCGCACATGGCGATTCGGCGAGCGCGCTAATGTCTCGAATTGGAACATTGGAATCGCAATGAACCGAGTCGTGGAGGAGGCGGGTCGTAGGCAGGCAAGGCAGTCATGGGCGGGGCGGGGCGGGGCGGGGCGGGGGGGGGCGGGGCGGGGCGGGGCGGGGCGGGGCACCCTCCCCTTTCCCCGGCGTCATCGCCACGCCTCTCACTCTCGCGGCCGAGGCGCCGAGGCCCCTTGGCGCGTGTGCGTTGACGCGTGCGTTGGCGCCTGTCTCACTGGAAGTGGCATTGTCATGCAGATGCCTTCAAGGCGAGACTCCCGCTGTAGCTGTCCCCTGTCGCTGTGCCCGTCGGACCCGAGAAAGACAGAGAGAGATAGAGTGACTCCCACAGGAGGCGAGGCAAATTGGCGACGGACAGAGAGAAGTGATTCGGAGTTATTTTGAAGGGTGCTCCGTCCCCCTCGCACCCTTATGAACCACCCCATGAGTGCGAGAGAGACAGAGCGACGAAAGCTGCGTTCACCCGGCGTCACGAAATGCAACGGCGACGCCTCCGGATTAGGCCCTCCCGGCCCTCCCAGCCGGCCGCCCCCGTTTTTGTGTGGTTTCCGGTGTGGGCGCCGCGGCCCTTGGGCCCTTCTTGCGCGGTGCGAGTTTCACCCCGCCCCCGCCGGGGCCACACCGGATGGCCGGCAGGGCCAAGCCGCACGGCCAGCGATAGCGTTACAGTGTTACAGCACGGCCGGCACGCTGGTCAAGGCGTCGCGGGGGGCGGACCGGGGGAGGGGGGGGGGGGGGCCGATAGTCCCTGCTGCGTTATGCAAAACACGGCGACTTACCGTGACCTGACGGCAAGCCTGCCGGCAAGCCCGGACGGCCCCCATCGCTGCACAGGCGCGCGTGCGCAGGATTTGTTTATTTAAAAGGGGAGGGGGGCACGTCGCACTCTTTGCTCACTTGCAGGTGGTTCGCACTGCATTTCTGCTTTCAGGTGCCCCGAACCCACAGGCATGGGTCCGTGACCCATGACCCTCCACTCACGATATAAACGGTTCCTGGTTTTCCCAGGAACTCCCTGCAAATCGCGTATGTCTTTACCATGGGGTTCCTGGGAAAACCAGGAAACGTTTTTACCGTGCTGGCTGCATATTCTCTGTCTCTGTCGCACTCGCGGGTCATTGCGTGCGACGCGAGAGGGACGAAACGATCCTTTGAAATGGGTGGTCATCGGACAGAACAACCTATTTTCAATGGGTTTACCATGTGACTTACGCCCTTATGCCCAACGGCTGCTAAAATGACTCTGCTAGCTACGCGGTAGACCCTTCGCGCCAAGCCGCGAAGGTAGTCCGTTGTTTCCTGCGTGTTTTGGCGACGTCTTCGAGGCCGTTTCACCTGAGGCGCCGCGACGACGGCGTTGTCGGTCGGGTTGGTCGGCCCAGACCGCGCGGCGCCGAGAGATAAGCACAAAGTCGCGTCGTCACTGAGAGGCATGGCGGATCCGGGGAGGTCCACCTTTCAGACGGCTATGGGGGGTGTCAATCGTCCTTTTGTCTTCCCACTGGATATCCGCGCCTCGCCTACACAGATTGCCCTTTAAAAGACAAAAACAGTGAGCACGTGGCTTGGACAGTGAAAGTCGTGCCGGTGTAGACAGGCTGGCAGGCAGGCAGACGGGCAGACGGGCGGGCCGCGTGGACTGTACTCGGCCCTGCCCTGCGAGCGCTGCTGCACCTTTAGCCCAATTACTGGCCGAGGGCCGCGGCCGGCCGGCCGGCGGATTCAAAGTGATGACATGACCAGACCAGTGATGCGCGTCCATTTATACCCCGTTCTTTTTCTGGCCATGACGGCTGGCCGGCCAGTCGGCCGGGGCAATGAATGGGACTTCCCTCGCACGCGCGGCGTGCCTGGTCCAGCCTGGTGGGCCAAGCGATTCCGAAGCGATTCCGAAGCGATTCCGCACATCGCTGTCATCGCGACGCCTCTCCCCTCTCTCTCTCGCACTCGCGGCGCGGCCCGCAGTCCCGCAGAAGTGCGAGAGAGACGGATAGCCCGCCGCTGTGCGGAATCGGTCTGCCGGCGAGGCTCATTGCGGGGCCACCGGGTCAATGGAGTCAACGCCTCACTCCGCCATGTGCGCGCCGCGCGGCCCGTGACTCGGCCGGTAGAGAGCTCAAACGAGCGAACACTGCCTGTCCGAACGACCGAAAACGAAGGCTTCTGCCGAGCTCGGCTCGCCCGACTCGGTTGTGCGTCGAGCCGGGCGAGCCGGACTGCGGCTGGCTCGGTGGCTCGGTCGCCGAAGCAACCCGAAGAACTACCGACGGGTCGCTCGGAGCCGAACGATAGCCACTAGAGGGCAGCACCTGTCGGGAAGGTTGGCGACAGACACTAGGCGAGGGGGTGAGGTGGGGGATTCTGTTGGCCAGCTTCCGAAAAAGGCGGGTGTCGAACCGGAAGCAGAGGTTTCAACGAGCGAGCGACGACGATTTCGGGTATCTTCGGAAGCCGAAAAGTGCTTCGGCTCGTAACATATCCGAACAGCCGTGTGCGCTCATTTGAGCTCTCTATCGGCCGGCCGGCCGGCGTCCGTCTGGCCAGGGAGTTGAACGTTTGGCGGCCTTCACGCCGGAGCCGGCGGAGCCTCCCTCCCCGCGCGGGAGAAAGCCAAGCAGGGCGTTCGGGGGCATGGAGGGCAGGCAGGGCAGGCCAGGGTACCGCGCCGTTCGGGAGCTATCCATCATTCCTCGCGTGGCCCGGCCGCCACGCTCCTCCTTGTTGTCCACGCTCCGCCACGCTCCGCCACGCTCCGCCACGCTCCGCCACGCTCCGCCACGCTCCGCCACGCTCCGCCACGCTCCGCCACGCTCCGCCACGCTCCGCCACGCTCCGCCACGCTCCGCCACGCTCCGCCACGCTCCGCACTCCGCCACGCTCCGCCACGCTCCGCCACGCTCGCGCTCCGCCCACGCTCCGCCACGCTCCGCCACGCTCCGCCACGCTCCGCCACGCTCCGCCACGCTCCGCCACGCTCCGCCACGCTCCGCCACGCTCCGCCACGCTCCGCCACGCTCCGCCACGCTCCGCCACGCTCCGCCACGCTCCGCCACGCTCCGCCACGCTCCGCCACGCTCCGCCACGCTCCGCCACGCTCCGCCACGCTCCGCCACGCTCCGCCACGCTCCGCCACGCTCCGCCACGCTCCGCCACGCTCCGCCACGCTCCGCCACGCTCCGCCGCCACTACACTTGATGGTGCCCTCCAACGCCACGGGCTGCGACTTCCTCCTCGGACTTCCCTCTTGATCGGCAGAGCCCCTCGCGTCTCCCTTCGGTTCCTTCGGGTCGTCCTGGCCTCTGCAGACTGATTCGTTTTCATTGCACTGTCTCTCTCTCGCACTCATGGGGCGTCCCACGGCTCTCGCAATCTGTCTGCTGTCCGGGGCGGATTAAGGCACAAGAGCATTGTCGCCTTTGATTATTTCTGCCACGCGCCAAGTTCCCTGTAGAGTGACTATTTTGACTAATTGACTAGCATGCATGAAGCCCCGTCCCCTTCGCCCCCTTGATAGCCGCCTGAGAGGCAGGCAAAAGGCAACACCCTGCCCCTGCAAATGGGCAAAAAGGTGCGTCTTCGCCCTTCCCTCCAGCCCTCCCCCAGGGCGACTCTGGATCCGCCACTGGATGCTGGCCATGCTGGCTCTGGACGCGGATGGCCGGACGCGCGTCCATTCGGACCGGAGCAGCCGATGCCCCCCCCCCTTTTCCCAGTGGAACGCAGCGGCGCATCGCGGCACCGCGTATCGGAGTCAAGGCCGCTCACTGGAGCTTCCCTTGGCACTCTCACGAATCGGCACGGCCGGCCGGCTCGGCTCACGGGGGTCTTTTTGTCCTTGTCGTTGTGTTGCCTGTTCGTTTTTGGTGTTTCTTTTTGTTGTTTGCATTGGTCTCGCTGCATCACGTGAATGCCCCCTTCACCTGTTGCAGCCCCTTAAGTACCCGAAGGTCGTGTTCTTCATCATCGGCAATGAGTTCTGCGAGCGCTTCTCCTACTATGGCATGCGAAGTGAGTATGACCGCCCTGGGTCACGCACCCCTTTGAATCCAGAAATTAGCAACCGGTAAAACTGGCGGGAGAGGGGCGACACGGAGCACTTCGTTTGAAGCCGCGCGTAGCGACTTCTACGTCTGGAGGAAGGCGTATAAGCACGCTTCAGATGCACCAGTGGACAGTGTGGGTCAGAAGATCGGTGGAGGCGGCCAAATCTCTAGACGCGTTTTGAGCTCCAAGTCGCTAAGCAAGACTCGAACCGAACGTGTGACCCCACCAATGGATCCCTCGTTCGGAGAGCAATCCGTTGCTGGGGTCACACGTTCGGTTTGAGTCCCATAGTCAGCGACTCCGAAGCTCGAAACGCTCCCAGGAATTTGACCGCCTCCTCCGATCTTCTGGCAAATCCACTGTGCAGTGTGTGCGTGTTGTTGCAACGACTGCATGGGCACGTTGCAGCGAGGGGGGAACAGCTTCCCACATTCATTGTACAAAATTTGACCACATTCCACATTCAGGCGGCAAAAACGCCTGTAAGTAGGCAACATGTGTGGCAAAAACGCCAGAAATCTTGCACATTCTTGCACATTCACACAATCATTGTACACAAAATTTTTCAGTGGGTCACCCCTTGCGTTGCAGCCATCCTGTCGCTGTTCCTCGTCAACGCGCTGCGGCTCTCCCAGGGCAACGCCACCATCATCTACCACGTGTTCGTCATGCTGTGCTACTTCTTCCCGGTCATCGGCGCCATCATCGCCGACAGCTGGCTGGGCAAGTTCGAGTAAGTCCGTCTGGCCCTGGCTCGCCCCGTCGCTGGGAAACCAAAATGCGGAGGTGGTGAACTCGCAGTCTCCGCATTTTTGGAAGTGCAGAGTTTGCCGTCTCCACACTTCAATTTTGCACCATCCTTAGGGGGCTCTCTGTGAGCTACTCTTCTCTTGAAGTGTGGAGACTGCAAACTCTACATGTCCAGTGTGGAGTTCTCCACACTTGGTTTGACCAATTGACAGTGTGCAAGCTGCATCATTTGGCTTTGACCTCACCCCGCCACTGCTCTCCTGTTCAGCACCATCGCCTACCTGTCCGTCGTGTACGCCATCGGCAACATCTTGGTGTCCGTGGCGTCCGCCACCAACATCGGCATCCCGTCAGAGTGAGTAGCCACGGCGGACGAACAAAAAAAAAAGAAGTTTTGAAATTGACAAAATTTAAAAAGACCAAATTTTCACATCAAAATGGACCAAATTTTGACGTTAAAATATACCAAATTTTGACATTGAAATGGATTAAATTTTGACATCACAATGGACCAAATTTTAACATCACAATGGACCAAATTTTGACATCACAATGGACCAAATTTTGACATCACAATGGACGAAGTTTAACATTAAGATTTTGACATTAAAATAGACCAGATTTAACGTTTAAAAATAACCACATTTTGACAAAAACGACTCGTTTTTAAACCAGTTTGACTTGCTTCCAGGCCGATGACGTACCTCGGGCTGCTGCTCATCGCCATCGGCACGGGCGGCATCAAGCCGTGCGTCTCGGCGTTCGGCGGCGACCAGTTCACGCTGCCGCAGCAGGCGCGCCAACTCGCGTCCTTCTTCAGCATCTTCTACTTCTCCATCAACGCGGGGTCGCTGCTGTCCACGTACCTCACGCCCGAGCTGCGCACCGTCAAGTGCTTCGGCCAGCCCTGCTACCCGCTGGCCTTCGGGGTGCCCGCCCTGCTCATGCTGCTCGCCCTGGGTGCGTGCCAAATCGGAAACCGCGAGGAAAAGGCGGCAAAAATGAAAAATGCCTCACGCACTGAATTAAACGATGTCGTTTCTTGTTGTCGGCAGTGATCTTCGTGGTCGGGAAGCCGGGCTACAAGATCGTGAAGCCCAGCGGGAACGTCCTCGTCGACGTCGCCGGCTGCATGTGGGTGAGTGCAGCCTGTTACGCGCGTGAGGTGAGCCAATGAGAAAGCGTCAGGAAAACAAACTAACGAATGCCATTTGCCGCCAACAGAGCGGGCTCGCCAACAAGCTCAAGAGCGGCGAGAGCAAGGACCACTGGCTGGACCACGCCGACGACCGCTTCGGCGAGAAGCTGCGCGCCGACATCAAGGCCATGCTGAGGGTGCTGCTGCTGTTCGTGCCCCTGCCCATCTTCTGGGCGCTCTACGACCAGCAGGGCAGTCGGTGGACGTTCCAGGTACGCCGGTGTCGGCGGACAAGTGTACCCCCCGGCCCAGGGAACCCTCGGGTACATCTCGCCTAGGACCAAGGTACCCGGGGGTACACAACGCCTAGGCTCAATGTACCCCGGGTACCTCAGGTCTGGGGGGTACACTGAGCCTAGGCGAGTTGTACCCCGGGTACAAAAAGCCTAGGCGAGTTGTACCCCGGGTACAAAAAGCCTAGGTGAATTGTATCCTCCCTCATCCGAGGGGAGGATACAACTAGCCTAGGCGAATTGTACCCCGGGGTACAAAAAGCCTAGGCAAATTGTATCCTCCTTCATCCAAGGGGAGCCCGTTAGGTTTGGTTAGGAAAGGTTGTACGATTTCTTTTGAGAATCAGATCTGTCGCGAGTAGAGTAAGATCTGTCACGAGCCCGTTAGGTTTGGTTAGGATTGGTAGGACAATTCAGTTTTAGAAGTCTTCCGTCGGTTCAATTAAAAACCAACCATTGACGCATCACAATCCTGCCGGGGAAGAATATAAATCCCCTCGTCTTGTTGCATCCTCCCTCGGCGAGAGAGGATACAATTCGCCTAGGCTTTTTGTACCCCGGGGTACAATTCGCCTAGGCTAGTTGTATCCTCCCCTCGGATGAGGGAGGATACAATTCACCTAGGCTTTTTGTACCCCGGGTACAACTCGCCTAGGCTTTTTGTACCCCGGGTACAACTCGCCTAGGCTTTTTGTACCCGGGGTACAACTCGCCTAGGCTCAGTGTACCCCCCAGGCCTGAGGTACCCGGGGTACATTGAGCCTAGGCGTTGTGTACCCCCGGGTACCTTAGTCCTAGGCGAGTTGTACCCGAGGGTTCCCTGGGCCGGGGGGTACACTTCGCCGCTTACACCGGCCGAAACCGCGGCCTGAAAGCAGAGCCGGCCCCAGGGAGGAGCAAACAGAAACAAAGTGCATTCAAGCAGCCTGCTGATTGACTCGTCCTCTGCACTCCCAGGCCAACAACATGAACGGCCGCATCGGCTCCTGGGTCATCAAGCCCGACCAGATGCAGGTGGTGAACCCCCTGCTGATCCTGCTGTTCCTGCCGCTGTTCGAGGGGGTGGTGTACCCCGCCCTCAACAAGGCGCGCCTGCTCACCAGGCCGCTGCAGAAGATGGCCACGGGGGGCGTCATCGCGGCCATCGCCTTCATCATGTCCGGCCTGCTCGAGCTGCAGCTGCAGGTAGGTGCAGGCGCGGATTTGAATTGGGGGGGGGGGGGTGCCAGTGTACCAGTGAACCGCCATTTGGAACCCTCTGGTTGCCTGTGCAGACCAACTACCCCGTGGCCCTGTCCGAGGGGCTGGGCCAGGTGCGCGTCTTCAACTCGCTGGCCTGCAACGTGACCCTGGCCGACCCGACGGGCAGCGACCTCCCCGGCGGCGAGGAGTCCGTCGTGGCGCCGTTCGGCGTGTGGACCAGGACGGACCTCGCGGTGAGCGGCGGCCGCCAGCTGACCCTGGACGTGACGGGCACCTGCCTGGACGCGGGCGCCAAGCTCGTCCTGGACCTCGTGGAGGAGACGGTGAGTTTAATTCGGCGCGTCGGTCTACGGCACGCCGGTACGCCGTCCGGTCCGGCGGAAGCTTCCCACGAGCAGGGGTCTTCCCCTGACTGAAATAATGTGCCACGGAGTGCCACGTGAGTGCAGTGAGATTGAAAGTGAGCTAGGTATTGCTTTTTGCCTTCTTACATGTGCTAGTACCCGAGTTCGTAGCTTATTTTGCCTATTTACGAGGATTTTACAGGTAAGATCCAAGTGAGTGTGAGTGAGTTTCAACTCGGAGCGTAAAACGAGTGGCAGACCCCTCGGCTTCGCACCATGCCTAAGCTAAACTTAATCTGGTAAACGGATCATCTTGCAGTCGGTGTCGTACAACCTCTACACGGCGGACCCCAGCTCGAAGAGCCTCCTCTCCCTCGCGGCGATCGACAACTTGCAGAAAGACTCGAATCCGCGAGTAAGGTGAGGAGTGACCCGAGAAACTTGGGGGGAAACAGGGGCAGTGGATAAGGGATAAGTTGCTAAGTGACGAAAAGAACGGTGTAAGAAAGGTACACTTTTACGGAGCCGACACCTTCACTTTGAGCCAATCCCTCGACTCATTTTTTCAATAAAACATTGGGGTGTACTGCTCTCCCCTTACCCCTCTTAGCTCACAATGTTTACATGTTCGACTCTCCCTGTCCAGGTTCCTGTACCACTTCACCGACGCCGTGGAGCACGTGGTGAACGTGACGAACATCAACACGCTCAAGTCGACGACGACGACGCTGCAGGGCACCGGCAACCTGGCGCTCGCCGACCTGGACCCCGACGAGTAAGTCGCACCGCGGCGCCCGGCAACATTGCGCACAGTGGATTTGCCAGAAGACCGGCGCAGGCGGCAAAAACTCTAGACGCGTTTTGAGCTCCAGAGTCGCTTAATGGGACCCGATCCCGACCCCAGCTCTTCGAGCGACTCTGGAGCTCAAAACGCGTCTGGAGTTTCGGCCGCCTCTACCGGTCTTCTGGCCGACTGTGCAATATCGTCGTTGTGATTCTAGTGTAGTCTGGAACCGAACCGTGGCTAACGTTCCCCTCGCCGTCTCCTCCACTCTCAGGTACTCCATCGCGCTGGACGGCAAGGAGGCGGTGTCCAATCAGCTGCTGGACGTGGGCGGCATCTACACCGTGCAGTTGAACAACGCGGTTGGTTCCCCGTTTTCCGAGTCTGTCGTCGCTTGGGTTCAAAACCCGGATTCATTTTATTTTTCCGGCGCAGGACCTGAAGGTGCAGACGTTGGTGAAGCCGAACGTGGTCCACCTCATGTGGCTGCTGCCCCAGTACATCGTCATCACCGTGGCGGAGGTCATGTTCTCCGTGACCGGCCTCGAGTTCGCCTTCACGCAGGCGCCCGTCTCCATGAAGTCCGTGCTCACCTCGGCCTGGCTGCTGACGGTGGCGTTCGGCAACCTCATCGTCGTCCTCATCACCGAGATCCGCTTCTTCTCCAGCCAGGTCGGTTCAGGCGCCGAGCGCGGCTCCAGCATTTTTCTGGGGAGGGGGTAATGTTGCGATTTTTGCCTACGCACAGGGGTCAAGACGTGCTTGTTGCCTACCTTCCAGGCGGCCAAGGGTTGACACCCTCCCCTCCCCACCAAAAAATTGGGGCTTTGTTTAGTACCTGTCTAGCCTCACAAAGATCAAGTCCTCTCTCTCGTTCTGCGCAGGCGTACGAGTTCTTCCTGTTCGCCGCGCTCATGCTGGTCGTCATGGTGGTGTTCATGTGGATGGCGATCAAGTACACGTACGTGGAGGACGTCAGGGACAGCGAGGACGACGAGCAGAACCAGATGACCATCCTGGACAACGACAAGCGGGAGAAATCGTGAGGGCGCACCGAAGGTCCTTTGGGCACTGAAAACCGAGTCTGTCTTCTTTTAGTCGACCACAGCGAGCTCCAGCAGTGAGTGCGCCGCTGCTCCAAGGGCGAGGACGAAAGCCACTGTCCTGGGCTCTCCCTCCACATCTCCCTCCAACGAGCCTGGGCCAAAGCCGAGGGCTAGGGCCAGAACCATGGGTGGGGCCAAAGCATCTCAGAAAGTTGCAGTTGCGAAGAAGCCCAGGGCTTTCTGGGCTAGGTAGCCTGTTTGTTTCACCATTTTGAACTCCCTGATTATGTTGATGACTAGCCCTCAATGAGGATGGAAGAATGGAAATGGCTTTTTTTATGTAGCCACAAAACTGTGATGATTCTTTTTTATGTAGTGGCCCTGTGCACTACGTGTACAGGGAATCCACATTCTATAAGTCTAAGTTTTAAAGAGAAAGACGTTAGTGATAGTAGTGCCAGAAAGGCTTTTGCTTTTTCTGCAAACGTATTTAATTCCATTATGACAATGTGATTGTGATTTATTCAGCAGTGTGTACCAAGAAACAGATAAAAGTTCCTGTGAACCAAGCAAAAAATGCTATCCATTCTCCAGAACTAATGCTAAGAGAATATTAAGATCTAGGAATTGATTTTTATAAAATGGCAGTATAGCAAAACTTTACATTTTATTACCTTTTAATGTGTCTTTCATTGCAAATGAAGCAACACAAAATCTATCAGAATAGTCCAAAGTGTGCCATTTCTTTTTATGAAGTCTAATAATTGTTTGTCTTCAGGTCATGTTGCACCACAGGTTACATGTACATAATTTGCACTGATATTAAAACACTGCTGTAAAACATGTAAATAAAGTATTTTATTCAAAATCTTTTCTAATGATGGCTCCTGTAAAATTGAGTTAAAAAAGAATAAGAACAGACATCAATTAACACTGGTACATTTGCTGAGTTACAAGAAGAAAGATTTCACAATGAGATTGACAGCCTACACAAATCTAAACTCTAATCCCCAAAAAAAGGAAAGGTTTCTGTGGTTTTAATCAGTCATTCAAAAGACAAAACAAATTAAAAATATACTACATAAAAGTAGATTTAGCTTTGTGTGAGACATTAATTATCTGCCAACGCCCACAGATGTTTTAAATTTAAAAATATGGACGGGGCCATTGTGCTTAAAAGTAGAAATATCTACTGTCTACATACTGCATTACATGCATAGTAAAATTGGAATTTTTCCCCATTTTGGCAAGTTATTTTTTCTTCAATAATTTTTCTTAAGGCGGCGTGCAAATATTACGTCACTTCTTTTAGACCTCTTGCTGACCCCTCCCCCGTCCATCATCGGTTTACCTCACCGTCGGCAGAGCCCCCCCCCCCCCCAAGTGATGACGTAATATTTTCACGCCACCTGAACTACATCACTGATGGGAATTATTATAAAAGGTCCGCTTACATGAGTTTCAACTGAAACTTAGAAGCTAAGTCTTTGATTATGATTGTTACTTATGGTCTTCAAGGAGGAGAAGTCACCACTCACAACACTACTTTTAATCATAGGAACTAAATTCCAGTCTAAATTTGAAAGGGTATCTTAGTGCCACATTTTCAACGATTTACATGGTTCTCTTTTATTATCAGAAACATTGGCACTTGGCACATAGGGAAACAGACTAGAAGCAAATTAAAGACAGACTTAAATGCAGTCTTCAGCCATCAAAGTTTCAAATATTTTTGGATGTGCTGTAATAATTTCTCCAAATGTAAAAAAAAGGAAAGAATGAAAAAGAGAAGGATCTGGCCTACATGATCCTTGCCACCACTAGGTACAGTAATTGGAATTATTACCTGACTAACTATGAATTAAAATCACATTAATATCTTTCAGTATTATCATTTAAAAGAAGTACAATGCAGGAAAATTGGAAGATTTTTAAAATATAAATTGGGATATGGGATACAGGAAAAATTAAGGAGATTTCATGTTTACTACATCAGCCTTAACTTAAGTGTCTCAAGAGATTTACCTATTGGAGGTACTCAGGGGAAAGAGCCCACAAAGAAGTGATGTCTATTACATGACCACATGACTCACCGGTTTAAAAACAGAACTCCTGTCTTTGATAAATGGAATGTCTATGTGACAGCACAACACTAAGAGGGGTGTATACAACTTACAAAAAGACTATGCATCGACTTTAGAATAGTTCTTAAACAGAGAGGAAATTTTGATATATGTTTGAGTCAAATTTGTAAAACTATACATCATTAGATCACCAATCAACCTATTAGAAAGTCTGCATGTTTGATACACGCACACACACACACACAACAAAAAAAAGGAAAGAAAAAAATCTCACTGTTTTGGCTGGTGTGCTTATTATTTTTAACATTTTAAGACAGGGAAGCAGCTTGATTTGCTTTATCTGAAATTAAGTTAATTTTCACATATTTTTCATCAATCTAGTCACGAAAAATGGGATAAGCATTGAACATCCAATTATCATGCCACCGAAGAGCCTGGAATTGTTGAAGTTCGGCTCGAAATGAGGAGACCTTTGCATTTGGAGCAGGGAAATTGTGAAACCAATTGATAATTTGCTGTGACAGTTCTTCAGAGTCCCTGAAAACCAGGCTGTTCTGCTCATGTTTCACCAATTCATCCAAACTGAAACATAAGAATTTTCATGGAATGAAAAATTATGACTGCAACATTTTAAAAACCTATGAGTGAATAGCCAGCTTGAGAGCATACCATTTGAACTTGATGGCACACACAGGCAAGCAACAACCAAACATATCCACAACTTTCATGGGTAAGTCCAGGCCACTTGATGAGGTATGGAGGCACACACCTAGATCAGCACTAGCTGCAAAAATAAATTAAATTTGAAAAAGGTTGTTAAAGATGTAAGCCAAGTGTGAGACAGTTAAAGACCATACTGATAAGACCAAGTAAACCCACCAAGAATACATGGATAATCCTGCGGCTGCAACCATGGAGTGATTACTTGGACATGACGCCACTTCATACCAGCAACAAGATTGCAATAATAGTGTTTCATTGGCCCCTTTCCAGTAATGACACAAACCAAAGGAGGCAGTCCTGATTTACCAGAAGCTCGCTTTGTTTCATATGCTGTAAATTAAATAATAAATTGTATCATAAATCAAATCTGTAGCAAATATCAAGAAGGGATAAAGCAAGCTTTTCATACCCTCGAGAGCCTCAAGCAAAATGCCGAAGTCTTCATCCTCAGTCCAACTAGTGCTTGATACAAGAAGACCTGGTCTATCATCACGAAGTTCATATTGGCCATCTTGAGTGGCTCGGGTGAATCTTGTTTCTTTCAAGCCACTGCGAAAATCTTCAAAATCCACACCAAGCCTAAGAAATAGTTCATGTTCTTCTTTGATAGAAATTGGCCGGAAAATTTCAGGAGGACGATCGTACAGAGTAGTAGCACTAAAACAAAGCAACAAGAAAGATATCCAGATGATGGAAGAATGAAAATTTTAACATCCGAATATAATAGTAATGTTAAGAAAAATAACGGCTTACTTAATGTTCCAGTTCTTTTTTAAGTCCTCCCTCATGGCTTTTGTCACACAGAGGTGAGCAGCAGCCTTTGCTCCGAAGTAAAACTCAATCCACCGGTAAATCCGTACGAGAACATGGTTTTCACCGAGAGAGAGGGCCATGATTGAAAACCCATAGTTATGCCAGTCAACAACAAAAGACGAATTGACACAAAAACAGTAGAACCAGCAAACTATCATGGCAGGAACAGCAGGGGGATTTTGCAGTAAAACATAGTGAGATTTTGGTTTACAAAACAGAGCGGCTAGAAGTGTACAAAACTGCCACAAAACTTTGAATGGCAGGAAGGCAGCTGCAGACAAAAGAAAGAGAAACGAAGATATTAACACAAGGGAAAATTAAGGAAACAGGGACTCATGTTGATAAGTTTGACTATGAAACAGTCTTACTTAATTTATTTTTTAAATAGCATGTTGACATACGTACCACTCTTTATGTCAGGGGAAGGTGACATGTAAATAAAACGAACATTTGGATGCTCTCTCAGTTCAGGTACAGGCTCAGATCCAGCATAACCTATAAGGTCGACGTCAAAGCCTTCTTTTGCCAACGATAGTGCATGATATTGCATGCGAGGGCTCCGTCCAACATCACCAACGACAACAACGCACACTGACTTTCTCTCTTCTGACATCGTGAGATTTTTTTCCTTCTAAAAATGTTCAAAATATGACATTTCTGTCAGTTTTGTTTACTTGAGCAGAAACGTTCAGAACGAAAAGTCTACTTGTCTACTGCTGGCACTCTCGATCGTCGATCGAGAGTCGAGATTAACCTCGGCAGGGTTGTCCACCCTCTCTACAAGAAATTAATTTTGCCAGAAAGAAAACACAAGAACTAGAAAGCTAAAAAATATTCCGCATTAAGTTGATTGAGTATTCAAATGATAAAACCGCAGCAGACTGGAAGTCAACATCGATTTTATCTTGCATAGGATTTATTTTTTCGGCAGACGGGTGGCAGCCTTTTATACTGACTTCTAAATTTTTGAACAAGGCTGTGAGCAGTTTGAACTGTCAAGTGCAGTCAAATTCAAATCAGGCCAGAAGAAATGTTGTTTTTGTAGTTTCATCTCAGCATCCATCACTTGTTTGTCACAATTCATTCAATATCGTGTATTCCGAAAATGGATCAAACCATAACTTTAGATGTTCGAGATAAATGTCAAGAGTTGAGAGAGATTCTGTCATGTCTTGGTTGTGAGCCCTCAGGACCCTTTTATAAAAGTTACTTTCTTTTCAATTTGATGTTTGATTAATTATTCTAGTCAGCTCCTGGTGCTAATTGATTCTTTATTTTTACACATGTTTCAGCTACTCATAAACACCTCGCCCAGTTATTATTTAAATCTTCTGATGAGCTAGAAGCCATATTCCATCTTTCAGAGAGTCATGGCGCAACACTAAGAAATAAAATGGTTGACCATTTAAAGCGAAGGTTGAGGTGAGTCGACGGTTGAATAATTTTCATCATTCTGAATACATATTGTTTCACTTATTATGTTTCTAGAGAGCAAAAGACTGACGCTGCTACAATACAATCAATGTTAGAAAGGGTTCAGTTCGAAGGTTCATTCATTGGATTTTCTGGGCTACAACAGAGACTTGCTGAGTTGCCAAAAGGTATGCCATGTTTTGACTTCAAACATATATTAGGAATTGATCTTAGCATATTCTTTTACATTTTTGTTCTTCTGACCCTACATGAAGAATGGACAGCTGTTCAGGTTACGTTAGAATGGGACCCCTTGTCTCGTTTCCCTTGCAGAAATGAAAATGTAAATCGTGGTCTTGGCATGTATGTGACCCGTTTTGCATTCGGGAGTCTTTCAGAGAAAGTGTAAGCACCTTTCATGTCTTAATATTGACTGTGTGACAGAAGTCAGTCAGGTGGAGAGTGCCAATTTGTGTACCATTTATTTTAATTTCAAGTTCAAATTTAACTTTGCAGGAATGATGAGAAGCCTTTCACAACATTTTTGCCACCTCTTGATGATGGTGAGGATAGACTAACATTTATGGCAGCTATTCGTAATTGCCTGTCTAAATTTGAGCAACGTTCAGACGACCGCCGAAGAATTCATGAAGAATGCAGTCTGGGAATTGAGGTGAGGTGCATCCTATAACAATAGTCATTCTATGTACCGTTATAGAGACTTAGCAGTGCGGGGAAGTAGGATTCAGGTATTGGTGGCACACAGGGTTGCCTCACTCACAGTACTTTTTGCATTTTTTTGCCACTAGTGGTTGAACTGTGCTTTTTACACATCCACAACCCGTATATTATTATTAATCGTATTCATCCATTCTTTGCAATGCGCCATTCAAATTTTTAAAAATGTCGGTTGTCGTATTAGCGTGGCTCCAGATATTTACCTTTTGAGGAGATGACGTGAAACGACATCAGCGAGCTTGGACTCTCAATACTAGCCACACAACAATAATGCAGCGGCAGCAATACAGTCAAAATTAGTTGTTTTGTCACAGTAATTCAGGCGGTGACAAGCAGCAGGTGCGCTCAAGCTGTGTAAATCCATGGATGCATCCCATTGTCAGTGCCCTAGCGTAATTGATACATCGCAAAAGAAAACAACTGTTAAGTGTAGTTTCTCCAGTAATTTCTAGGTAACCACATCTGCATGTGGCTTTTTAGTGTTCCAACAAATAAAATGTAACTAAACGCAAGTATGCCTAATTGCCACAATACAAATTAGATTAAAATTTCATCCACCATCTGCTTTTATGTTAGCATGAGCATAAACATGTTTTCTCCTGTTCCAGGCAATAGTTAATGAAATGCAAATGTGGCTAGGAGGTTGGCTCTGCCTGTTCATGGGAAGACTAGTAAGTGAAAAATTGGAGCTAGCTGTGAAGACTGCTATTGATTCGTTTGTTTCATCTTACAAAATGTAACATTTTTTACCTAATGTTTCTTTTTATGGTACAATTTTTACTATTGTTATTATGAATAGTCAAGAATTCTGAGTTTAATTTTTCTGCACAGGAAAGACACTGGTGATCAGGATATGACAGAAAAGGCTAGAAACATTCTATACTTATTGGCATCCTGTCCGTCACTTTCATCTTCTGAAGTTAAAACAGTGGTCTCCTCTCTTTTCAAAGATCAAAAGTTTGCAAGTTATATGAGCCAGAATGTCTGCAATGTGATGTCCAATTTTAGCACAGCTTTACATCGAGCTGAGAGACACCCAGTTATCCTTCTGGTTGATGAAGTGTGTTTTAGTCATCCACTTTGGTAATTTAATAGGAGAATTTTGATAGTATTCATGAGATGTGGCTTGTTTCTTTCAGGAACTGGACATTTTACCATTTGAAGTTATATCACCCCTGCAGGATCAATCTTTTACACGAATGCCTAGTATCCATTTACTTCACGCATTGTACTATTGCCACAAGGAATCAGTCATAAAGTTAGTGCACGGTCAAAGTAAATCTAATTTAAATGGTATCATTTTCACAACAGCTTATAACTACCACATCTTTTTCAGGAAGGGAATAAATACAAAGAATTGTTTTTATGTCATTAACCCTGCTAAAAATCTTCCCAATCTGGAGAAATTATTTGAAACAATGTCAACTTGGCCTGTTGCTCAAAACTGGAAAGGAGTGTACAATACTGCACCAACCTCAGAACAATTTTTAAGTGGTTTACAAGACAATGATTTGTTTGTGTAAGTGCTTTTGTTACATGTTTGAATGAATCACTGCAAAAAGCATGTCCATTCTATAAATTAATTTTTTTTTCATTGAATTTTTCAGATACTGTGGTCATGGCGGTGGAAATCAGTACTTGACCAAAAGTGTAGACACAGCCCGCAACAAGGCTGTAGTCTTCCTCTTTGGTTGCAGTTCTAGTAGCCTGAATCACTTGGGAGGCCGGGTGGAAATGACATCTTTATCCTACAATTATTTGATTTCTGGCAGGTAATTTGTGTTCCTACCTTTATTATACCTTTTTTTTTGGTCCAACTACATATATTGATTTTTTCCCCAATCAATAATTTATAGCCCATGTGTGGTTGGCATGCTGTGGCAAGTGCTGGATGTCGATATTAACTCAATGACTAAGGAGCTCTTGAGGTCATGGTGCAGTGGTGGAAGAAGTTATGATAGTACTGATGGTTCAGATAGAGATTTTAAAAGTTTGGATAGCAACAGAATTAAAAGTAAGATGGACATCTCTGACCTTATTATATCAAATTGGTGTGTCTGTTGCCTCATCAGATTGTTTCCTTTTTCAGGTGGCCAAAAAGTTCCATACAATCTTGACAGTTTAGAGAATGACTTCAAAAATGTGAATATAAATTCTACTCAAAGTAAGATAGATTTTACCAAAGTGCTTTAGTAAATTGCTGTGACTACATACTGACAACACATTTTTTCCTTTCAGTAATAGGTGGAAAATCTTCTCCAGACTTGTGCAAAGCGGTTTGTCTGTCTAGAAAACTTGCCTTGCGCTTTCTTAACAAAGCTGCTCTTGTCATCCGTGGTCTTCCTGTTAATGCCATGTGATAGTGATTGTGCTACTATTTCTCTATGTGATATGATAATTCTTATTACTTTATGTTTATTGCATGTTTCTTGGATTGGGTAAGGAACAAAGTACAAAATAAAACCTGTATTACAAACATATTTCTCTTTATACAACTTTCCACATACTATTTACAACTTTAAATGTTTTATTACAAAAAGTCTTAAAAACAAAACACAAAAAAAATCAATGGTTTTTTTTTACAAATTTTTCTAAACCTAAAAAAGAAGGACAACTTAAGGACACCAGTGTGCATTCTCCTTTTTGGAAGAATGGCAACCACTCTTGTATAGTAACAGTCCACCTACAAACCTAAAATTTAGACAATTCTAAACCTGTTTGGTTCATTTTGAGATGCACTCATGTATTTGCTTCAGTCACATACTACTCCACACCAAATTTTGTGTCCTTTGTTCAGGAGTATCTTGTGCCAATGCACATTTCTGGCGAAAAACCACACAAACTAACAAAATAAAACAAAAAGAAAAAACACTTACAATACAATAAATACAAAATTTTGGTACTTTCATGTGGTCTAACTTCAGAATGCAGATGAATTAAAATGGATTGACAAAATATATGGAATCATCAATTCCGGTACAATACACATGAGGAATTGCAGCCATCAGATACTCAACTGAATTAGTAAGCAAAGAACATGAAACAAAAAATGAGGCTCGAAGTCTTGCAATTGAAACTTAGAAGAATGTAATGAAATTTTAACTGTGGCAAATAAAGAACAGAACAAAGCTGATTTAGCAGAAGCCAAAGTAGAATACCTTCACCTCAAAGGGGAAAAAAGCATGTTTTTGACAGAATTTTTTTTGCACCAAATGTTGCACTGAATAGCAATAATGATAGAGTTGATTTCTTGAAATGATTTTTGAGAAAAGAAGTCTCATGCACCTTCAATGTGGCTCGAGGTGGCTCAGTCACATTAATTGTGACAGTTAATTTGTCAGGAAGAGGTTTGGTTTCTTCCCTTGGTTTATGAAAAGTTTTAAGAAATTGCTGGCAAACAATTTTAGGACCAATGTTTACCTTTCTCCCTTTCAGGCAACATTATCTATGCAGCAAAACATCACAACTCTTCCCTCTGCTCATGGCGCATTGCTCTCAATTTTCATTCTCTCTGAACTTGCTGATAAAAAGGAAATATCAGAAAGGGTGAAAATTGCCCCAATTCATGAAGCAGCAGTAGAGCCATTTCTTTTATTTTAAATACCATATTTTGTCTCCTTTGCTTTCAAAACGCTTTAAGACATTTTAGACAAGCGGGTTGTTAAAGGAAGGAGAGTATAATTTCAAGCAACAAGAGACAAAATTTCATGGTAAATATACAAATATATATATGTACACACATTTCCAGTAGTTAGTTCATTGAACTGCCTAAATTTGTAAGTTTCAAGATATAAAAACTGGAAAGCTCTTAGCTTATGATACATGGGTACTCATTTTCAGAAACATGGCACCTCCTAAAACATCAATATCTTTGTATCACACTTGCAAAGTTATTGTTTCTCACAAGACCTGCTCAGACAATTTAGATAATCCAGAGGTAGTATGGTTCACTGTCTGCAATGATCTTTAAGAATGCTTTTGCTGTTTTAGTGACCACATGGCCAAAATACACTCACATGACCTAATTAATATAAAAAAATTTCACTCCAAAAATTGATTTAATTGCTAATTGAGGCTCTTATTGAGCATTAAATACTGATAAGATCTGTCTCTGAGCACAACTTACACCAATGCTTAATCTGAATGCAGCTACGAAATGGATAAATTTTAACACAAAATATTTAATACTATTTCTAAATTTTAGGGATATTTAATGGGGAACGTATTCAATGAATTGATTTTGTGACATGATAAATATGGTCAAAATCACCGACACATGTGTAGTAGGTGCTCTCTTTGATGAATGGGATGATCGATGGCAGTTGATGAGATTTTTACATTACTAAGGGCTTGTTCCTGGGCCCTTCGGTCTGATCATCATGCTGGCTCTCTTCAACGTGTAATCCCAACCCCTCCACCTAAACCAAACAATACCTGCAAAAAAAAGGGCCATTTCCAATTTGAGAAACACATGAGAGTGCACGCACACAATTGTCATTACGATCCTTAAGGATGTGATTCCATACCTTGTCGAGCAGTCAAGTCCTGCGGGTCGTTTAGGTAGAGGCCGTTAAGTCCTCGTCCGCATGACTTCCACCACCAACCTCCCTTCAGCATGGACGCGCAGTTCAAGCTCGATCTGTCGTTATCTCTGTTGGGTAAAAGGAACGATCGTGATGGAAAAAGTTGACGAGCTCGACGAGTTGGTTTGAAACGGGAACTACGGGAATTGGTCTCACCTGTTGTACGTGGAGAAGGGGCTGTTGTTTGATCCGTACCAGGGGTCGTTTAGCGAATCGCCCGCGTTGCCCTCGTATCCGTCGATTTCAAGTTTGTAGTATTCCGCCTCGGAGTAGATCTTGAAGTGAGAGTACTGGGCATACCTGGAACGCACAGACACAGCTGACGTGTTGTTCTTGCGCTAGTGCGGCGGCAAGTCAAGATCGAGGCGGCCTGCATAGGCGTGCAGTACGCGCGCGCCCGTTGGGTTGCCTACCCTGAAGCGACTTCCCGCCGCGGCCGCATGGCACAAGCGTGCGCAGTGTAGGCCGCGGCGAGCGAAAAGACAAGACAGCTTACCGTTTGTTGCCTTCGAAATCTTCCAGTTCAACCCTGAGCTGGTACTCCTCGTTGTTGGTGAGCATGTAGATGTTCTCGTTACCTAACCAGAACTCCTTGGCGGGATCCCCGAATCCGTTCTTGTAGTCCGCCCAGTCTCGGTTGAAGTTTTCTCGGGGGTCGCCGAAATCATCGCGTCTTTGGATAACCTGGTGTTTGGAAAAGCAAAAGCAAGGGCCGCTTTTTATGTCTAAGACTTGCACCGAAGTTAGAAGTAACCCCCCCCCCCTCCTCAAGCGAGCCCACCCCACGCACCGTCCAGCCGCCGTCGGCGATCTCCTGCTCGCAGAACACCTTGAGGAACCAGTACGTCGTGCCGCGGATCTGCAGGTAGTACACGCCCGAGTGGCGCATGCCGGCGTTGAGCAGGTCCACGCACGAGTAGCCCTTGACGTCCTTGATGTTGAAGAACTCGGTGGCGAAGGACGTGTTGGTGAGGGTGGGCTTGTTCTTGACGGAGGGGAAGATGACGCCCCTGTTCCTGGAGGCCCTGGCGGCGGCCGCGGCGGACGCGGCGGCGGAGGTGGCGCCGCCCGGGGTCGAGGTGACCGTGGACGAGGCCTGGGGGCTGAGGGTGGTGGTGGGCACCGGGGCACTGGGAGTCACCTGGGGGCGAACGAGCGGCCGGTTAGACAGTCAGACAATAGCGGCGTGGCCTTGGCCTTGGCCTTGGCGACCTTGAGCCTTGAGTGGGGCCCAGGTGCCGATCCAGGGGGTGGGGGCGATGTGGGGGCTGCCCTTCAGAAGGCGATGAAGCCGCCTGAAAGGTAGGCAAAGCGTCGCACTTTGCCCCTGCAGGTGGCCAACAACGCCCCCCGAACCCGTCTCTGGATCCGCCCTTGGCCTGCACGGGACTGGCGGGGCGCATGGCGCATGGCGCAGGGCGCAGGGACTGACCGTCACGCCCTGCACGCTGAAGATGGGCCCGGGCGTCGTGGTGGCCGCGATGGAGTTGGAGGGCGAGTTGGACTGCAGCAGCACTCCGGGCAGCGGGTCCGTCTCGGGCTGCAGGTCGTCTCGGTTGGACACCTGGCTGCTGCTCGACACCACGGAGTACCTGCAAGACGCCCTCGTTTGAGTGGAGTCTAGGTTCCAGGGTGCACACTGCACAGTCGGCTAGAAGGCCGTTGGAAGCGGTCAAAACCCCGGACGCGTTTTGAGCTCGAAAGTCGCTAATTGGGACTCGAATCGAACGTGTGACCCCACCAATGGATTGCTCTCCGAACTAGGAATCCATTGGTGGGGTCGCACGCTCGGTTTAAGCCCCATTTAGCGACTCTGGAGCTCAAAACGCGTCTCGAATTTTGGCCGCCTGTGCCGGTTTCTGGCCCACTGTGCTGCGCACTGCCCGGCTGGGCCAAAGAGGCCTGGTGGTGGCGAAGCACGGCAGCACGGCGGGGCCTACCTGTTGGAGTCGTACTCGACCAGGCGGTCGATGGTGGGGTCCAGGAGCAGCTCGGCGGCCACTGGCCGCTGCGCGAGGTTCACCACCTCGTCCTCCTGCTTCTTGAGGCGCTTCTCCACCATGTCCAGGTTGGCGATGATCTTGTTGGCCTTCTGGCGCAGGTCGGCGTGCACGTCGTTGATGGCGCGCTCCTGACGTTGCGTCTGCAATGCGTCATAGAGGGGCGTAAGAACGACGTCGAGAGGCGACGACAGAGTCAGGTTAGGTTAGGTTAGGTTAGGTTAGGTTGTGCTGTGTTTGGGGAGCTAGGGGCGTTCTGAGTGTTTACCTGGGTGAGCAGCTCGTCCGACTTGGGCACCAGGTCGTCCACGGAGGTCTTGGTGCCGACGACGACGTCCCACACCTCGTCCATCTTCTCGGACACGCTGAGGATGGGGTGCATCTGCTTGACGAGGCGGTCCAGCTTGCTGCGCTTGACGGCGTTGGCGGCGGCCAGGGGCGACTCGGTGGTGGTGGTGGTCGTGGTGGCCGTGCGGTTCCGGTAGACGGGGGAGACGCCGGCGGGCACGGCGGGGGCCTCCACGTGCTCCACCACGGCGTCGTGCACGTCCGTCACCATGTTGAGCACCTTGCCGAGGCTCTCGGACACGACGTTCATGTGGAAGCTGAGCTTGCGGTCCAGGCGGTCCACGCTGGCCGTGGCGGTGCGCAGCGCCTGCAGCTCGCGCGTCACCTCGGCGCTCAGCACCTTGCCGATGTCCACCACGTTCATGCTGACGGGCTTCTTCTCGCTGGCCTCGGCGTTGATGTCGTCCGCGGGCAGGAAGTTGGTGTCCAGCTGGTTCTTGAGGTTGGACAGCTTGGAGCCGATGTCGGACACCTTCTGGTCCAGCGAGACGAGCCTGTTGTCGATGTCGCCCGCCGCGGCGGCCGCCGCTGCCGCCGCAGCCGCGCCGCCCGGCGTGGACGCACCGCCGCCCACCACGGCCGCGGCCAGCCCGCCCGGCACGGCCTGGAACAGGCGCGCGTCCATGGCGCGCAGCTTGGAGATGACCGAGTCCGTCTTGTCGATGTTGTCGTTGACGCGCGAGTCCAGCGCCTCGACGCGCCGCATCAGGTGCTCCACCGCCTTGTCCAGGTTCTCGATGCGCTGTAGCTTGGTCTCCAGCGTGGACACGATCACCTCGAACACGTTGAACAGGTACTGCTCCCTGGAACACACGGAGAGGCGCCGCGTTAGAGAGGGAGCGCTTCCGGCCGCCCTTCGCTGGAGGCTGCGGGCAACGCACGCGTGCGTATGCGCCTTTGAATCGCGCGCTGCCACCGCCGCCATCACCAGAACACATCCGTTGTGTGTGAGGTCCACGCGTTGCGTCAGCGAGCGTCCACTGCGGAAGTAGAGCACGCACACACTCGCAAACACTCACACAGACACAGGCACACACACGCGTGCGCTGCATTGCGTTGGTGCCGTTGGTACTGCACCAGCAGATCGCAACAGTCCCGCAGCCAGTGTGGTGGCTGCGGCCATGGCTGCGGCCATGGCTGCGGCAGTGCACTGCCAGGGGGCCGGCCGGTCCCGTCTCGAGAGATTGACCGCGAAACGACACATTTCCAGCCGCTGCGCGCTGTGCCGCGGCTGCAGACTTATTCCGAAAGTCGCTGTCGTCGCTCTGTCTCTCTCGCACTCGTTGGGCGTCCCGTAGGGTGCGAGGGAGACAGAGCGACGAAAACGACTCTCGGAATGGGTCCGCTGCAGCCCGACTGCTGCGCCGAATCGTTTTAATGGCAGCCTCCAGCCTCATTGCGGGTAATGGGTAACGCGGGTCGCCCTGCCGTGCCCTGCCCGGCCCATCGGCGTGGCACGGCGTGGCGCGGCGGCCGTACAGTAATATGCAACGCGCTGATTTACTATCGGGCACACCGCGGTCGTGTATCGGGCTGCTGGGCCACGGGCCTGCCGCCGGGGCCCCAGGCGACTTTGGCGATAAGCGTTGGCGAACTCACAATAAACGACCAATCCCATTGTTTCGCAAGTCATTGCAACAATATATGCACTACTTACCGGGGCCCGGGCGCTCCGCCCCCTCCCCTCCCCACCCCTCCCACTCCAGTGTGCGTCCCGAACGGTCCGAACGGTAGCGCGGCCGCGAGAGGAACGTGAGGTGGAGGCGGCGCCGTCCTGCGGGCCCTTTAATTCGTTTCATATTGTTGTTGTTGGCGCTCCGCCCCACACAGCCCTACCCCACCCTTCCCGCCCGCCCCGCCCCGCCCCGCCGTCCGCATCAATGACTCATTGACGCCAGGCGACGCTGGGCGACGCTGGGCGACGCGGCCGGCGGACTGGATTCGCGCCTGGTCCTTTCCCACAGCTTGGCGGCTTGGCGGCTACCGGCTGCAGTGATTGTTCCTGTAACAAGCCCTCCCCCCTCCTCAACCCTTTTCTGCCCCGGTAATTGCACGGTGGACCGCGAGGCTGCCCGCATCGTCTGTCCGTCCGTCCTCTCTGTCTGTCTGTCTGTCTGTCTGTCTGTCTGTCTGTCTGTCTGTCTGTCTGTCTGTTCGTCCGCCTGTCCGCGATCCTGACGCAAGATATCATTAGTTATACAAACGTCCGGGGAATATGACTGGCCGCGCTGCTGTCGCATCGGCCGCCGCGGTGCCGCCTGGTGCCGCCCCACTCACTGCTGAGTACTAACTGCGACCGGGTTGGGGCACTGCTAATTGAGCAACTGCTCGAACCAGCAGACAGTGGCGGACACAGGGGGAGAAGCAAAGGGGCGACACTTAGACAACCGCCTGAAAGGCAGACAAAAAGCCATACTTTGCTCCTGTAAGTAGACACAAATTTGTGGTCCCAGTTTAGCGTTCTGAGGGCGACCCCGGCCAAATGTTGGCGATTGGAAGAGCGCCACTGGGGTGACTGGGAAACTCTTCCATGGAGTTGAAGTGGAGGCGCCAGGTGCAATAATTTCGGGCCTGCTTGAACCCCACTCCTCCGAGACCAAAGAACGAATCCTCGCTCCAGATCGTGTTGCCGCGCTGCCCGCCGCGCCCCGCTGCTGACGGCCGCCTGTGTTCCCGGGCGTCGACACCGCGGGGGGCGCCCAGGCCAGCGCCCAGGCCGACCCGAAAGGCTGACACACAGGCCTTTATTCAATGGGGAACGAAATGAAACCGAAAGTGGGCTGGAAAGCGGGAGTGTGAAGCTCGACGCCCGCGGCCCTGCCCTGCCCGGCCCCGCGCAGACCGATTCCGAGAGTCGTTCTCGTCGCCCTGTCTCTCTCGCACTCATGGGGCGCCCCGTGTAGGTGCGAGAGAGACAGAGCGACTCCGCAGCCCGAGGGGACGTGACGTGACGGCCGCGCGGAGTATGACGGTTTGCGCCGCCGCGAATCAGCTGTGGGCGCCGGGCCGGGGGAGGGGGGGAGGGGAGGGGAGGGTTTGCGCGCGGTCCCCCGCAGGGCCCCGGCCGGGGCGGGGAAGGGGGAGGGGTGACAGACGGTACGGCGCGGTGCGTGCAATATCTAAAGCGACGTGAATGAGTCCGTGTTTGCATGCCCCCGGGGCCCCCGGGCATCGAGGCGGCCAGCACGCAGCGCGCAGGGAGCCGGCCGCCGGGAGCCCGATCAGGGTTTTTTTCCGCCGCGTCGCTCTGTCTCTCTCGCACTGGCGGGGCACGCGGGGCGCTCCGCGTGGGCGCGAGAGAGACAGCGAGCGCGACGAACGCCCCGCTCGGAATGAGCCTGCGGGCACGGCGAGGCGAGGCGAGGCCTTGGCCCGCCCGCCCTTTCTTCCAGCCTGCCAGGGGCGGATCCGGGGGCGGCCTTTTGGGGGGCGGCGGCAAAGCGGCACTTTTCCCGTACTTACAGGTGCAAAGTATGGCCTTTTGCCTACCTTTCAGGCGGCTAGGTGCTTGTGGGAGGGGCAAACACCCCTTTGCGCCTCCATCCGCGCCTGAGCATGCCAGGGCTGGCCAGGGGCGGACGCGGACAGGGCCCCAAGGGGTGCGCGGCGCGGGGGCGGAGGGGCGGCGGCGTTTCTCTTAAATAGCACTCTAGAAACTGAAGAGTGTGCATGGCATGCTCCCCCAGGAAGCACACTCCAGGATGGAGCGTGCTTTGTGGCATACTCCCTGGGGGAGCATGCCATGCACACTCTTCAGTTTCTAGAGCACGGGAAGAAAGTTTACGCCATCTCCATATCTAAGACACTTGCGCGCCGTCCGGCCGCGCGCTGCCGGATTGTACATTCAAATCGAACGGCGCCGACCGACTCCGACTTGGACGTGGCCGACGTGGCCGGGCCGCCTATCGACTTATCGCTCGGGATCGAGTAGGAAGGCGTCCGGAAAAGAAAAAGCCGCACTCTGCCTGCTGTATGCGAGTGCACTCAATTTTTTTTTTTTAGCGAAATGAAAAGAACCGGCCGGTCGTTTGTTTTGATCCGCGGCTCAGATTCCGCGTTACCATGGTTGGTTGCCATTCGGACACGCGGGGTGGCAAGGCTTGGCTATGGTAATAATCTCCAGCGGGGGTCGTCATGGGACAGCAGTCGTTGAGAAAAGCACTGTGCCCGCCCCGCCCCGCGCCGCCCCGCGCCACGGCTTGTGGTCGCACCGCATTGTTCCCGTGCAGCAATGCGCGTTCAAGGGATTACCTCCGCCGCGGCGCGCCGGTCAGGGGGTCGGCCCTGCTGGGTCACCTAGGCGGCCTGCTCCTCAAGGTCCTTAATTAGAGACCCAATTAATGAATTCATTTTTCGTCCCGACGCAACGAGCAGAGCGAGCAGAGCGAGCAGAGCGAGCCGCCCGCCAGCCCGCTGCCCTCACCCAGGGCCTCACCGCAGCACGCGCCGCGGCCGCCGCCAGAGCGCCAACAGTGGCGCGGCACGGTGTCTCACTGTTGGCAGCCCTGCAGCAGACCCGATTCCGAGAGTCGTTTTCGTCGCTCTGTCTCTCTCGCCCCTACGCGGGACGCCTCATGAGTGCGAGAGGGACAGAGCGACGACAACGACTCTCGGAATCAGTCTGCAGGCTGCCTCCGTCGCTCCGTCTCCCTCGCACTGACGGGGCGTGTTGGAGGGATGCGGGCGAGACAGACTGTTTGGCTGCCGAACGATCCAGAAAAGTCTTTGGTCGCGCTGTCTCTGTCGCACTCATGGGGCTCTGCGTGAGGGTGCGAGCGAGACAGACTGGGGCCGCGGGGCGTGGCGGGCCACAGTGGGCCAGAAGCCGGTGGAGGCGGCCAAAACTCTAGACGCGTTTTGAGCTCCAGAGTCGCTAAACAGGCCTCGAAATGAACGTGTGACCCCACCAATGGATTCCTCGTCCGGAGAGCAATCCATTGGTGGGGTCACACGTTCGGTTCGAGTCCTGTTTAGCGACTCTGGAGCTCAAAACGTGTCCAGAGTTTTGGCCGCCTCCACCGGTCTTCTGGCCCACTGTGCGTGGCGGGGCGCGAAGGGGAGCGGACGAGCGGACGGAAGGAAAGGGAAAGAGAAATGGCGCCATTATCGCTCCAGTGGTCGTTACCGTTTTTGTCGCAATGTTAATGGGGCCGTTCCCACGGCCACGGGGCCACGGCCCCCGCCGTCTCTCTCGCACTCTCTCGCGTGCCTGCAAGCAGTGCGAGAGAGACGGAGCAACGAGGACGCTCTTCGGAATCGGCCGGCGCGCAGGCCCGCCTTGGGCAAGGCCCTGGCCGCCCTGGCCGCGGCGGCTGCAGGAAGCTGCGCGCCGCGTCAGCCGCGTTCGTCGTGTGTTTACCCAACGGCAGCTCCGGGCCTGGGGCAGGGCAGAGGGCAGAGTAGAGGTAGAGTCCTTACACTTAAGGACTCTAGACAGAGGTTCCAGTTGCTTAGTTGCTTCCAGTGCCGACCCTGCACTGTCAGAAAAAAAGGCCGTAAATTTACGGAGAAAGTTACTCTAATTTTGGGAATGGAGGCTCCGTAAATTTTCCATATTTTTACGGAGATTTTCCATATTTTTACGGAGATTTTCCGTATTTTTACGGAGATGAACCGCATTTTTGCAGAAATAAACGCATTTTAACGGTTTACATCCCTCCTTCCACCTTCGATGTTAAGGCAAACAGTGTCCTTTTAGACGAAAGTGATATTCTCCAAAACTGTTTGAAGATCCACTTGACCACATGCTATTAGGATCGGATGAATGAACGGAAACCCAAAGGCGAGGTCGCTTTAGGGCAGGCGTACTCTTGGAACACCTAATCAGTTGGTCACCCAACCCATCGATAACGTGAATTAGTCTGTTCTTTTTAATAAGTAAGGCTTCTATTTCATTTATATACGTAACTTCCATACTTTTACGGAGAAAATCCATAATTCAAAAAAACGGAGATCTCCGTTAAAAAAAATGGACAATCTCCGTTAAATTTCCGTATTTTTACGGAGTTTTCTGACAGTGTGCCCTGTGCCCTGCCCTGTGTGAGCGCCGTCCCTCAACTAGCAACGTGGCAGAATCGCACAGTGGGCCCAGAAGACCGACAGAGGCGGCCGAAACTCCGGACGCGTTTTGAGCTCCAGAGTCGCTGAATGGGACTCGAACCGACCGTGTGACCCCACCAATGGATAG